TTCCCTTTTTTTTTTTTTTTTTTTTTTTTTTTTTTTGACTCCTGAGAAGTGGAGAATGGTGATATCTTGACTGTATTAGATCTACAACTTGTTGTGCTTTTAGAGTGTGTTTGATTGACATGGAAAATATCATCTAGAAAAAAAAATGTTTTCCTTTTTTTGTGGAAAATAAAAACCACCTTCACCCAAGGAAAATGTTTTCCTTAAAAACAAGGAAAATTAAGTATATTTTCAAAAGTAAGAAAATGTTTTCTATGGAAAAAATTAGCAATCAAACACCTCAAATAGGAATTTGGCTGCAAAATAGATATTTTCCATGGAAAATAAATGTAATTAAACACACCCTTATTGTTGAATACGCACGACCAAGTTCTTGTATGGTGAACAGAGAAATTAGTGCAGCCTCTGCTGAGAGGCTGCTCTGATACTTTTACATTTTATAAGTAACGTCAAGTTTTATAAGGTTTACATGGTTCTCTTCACTTGAGGAAGGGTAAACAGCGGCCTCTTGCATGCCACTTTCTTTTATGATTTTATTTTTAAGCTTTCACATTTTTATCTCTTGTTTACCAGTTTAGTCACTTGTCTTTGAACAAATTATCTCTAATTTGAGAACAGATTGCCCGCATGCTTACTGTGAAGAGGGAGAGAGAGTTGGAGGAAGGAATTAACAAGAGGTTGTCAAGAAAGCTCGACCGGAAATGGAAGAAAAGCATCGTTCCTAGACCACCTCCATCTCTTAAGAAATTACAAGAAGAGGAGGCAGCAGCAGAAGCTAAGGAATCGACATGAGTTTCACTAGACTTTTCTTTTGCGCAAATTCATGCACCTCTTCTTTTATCATCCATTTTCTTCTTTTCATGTTTTTGATACCAAGTGTGAGGTCTTTAATTGTTTCTAACTGATCTCTACCATTTTCTGCATGCTTGTTAGATCGTTGTGGATTATATACACATTTATTTTCAGTTTCCAGTAAAGGAGAATGTGTTGTGCCATCGATCTTAACGTGTGAAGGTTCAAATTCAATAAGAGTTTAGTTTTGAATTTAAATTTCCCCTTTTTTTTTTTTTTAATTTAAAGAAACTCAATTGCAGCTAAAGTGAGCCAGATCATAATCCAAGTCTTGTCCAGAATGTACCGGTCAAATTGCATTGCTTAATTTGTAATAAGAAAATGCAAACAACTAAACTTCAAAGAAAGCCAATTAAAGCTGCATGACTTCAAAAACAGAGATAAAATGGTTTCTGACAGTCAATATTGAATCCAAACTATAAATGACTTATCATAACAATTTTCAGGTCAAGAATTTTGTACTTCAAGATAGTTACACCACATCAAATGTACACGGAAATATCACCGAATTTCAAAATTGCAAGATGTTCCATTATCAAATATGCACACGAAAAATAAAAATAAAAATAAAAAGAGTAACTATCACGACATAACTGGGGAAGAAAATCCGGCAGGTACACAACTGGTTGCTGAGATATGGGACAAAATCAAGCTTGGCTGATCGGGCAACCTATTAATAGAAATCGATCAACTTGGTTGGTTTACTTGATATCCGTTATATCATCGTCCTCCTGACAACTCAATAGCGCTCTGATTGTGAATTGAGTGGTCTCCCCATTCGAATCTTCTCTGTAATCTCTCGTACTCATGCCTCCGTGTCACTTCAACGTGTTGCCATTCTTCCCACCTCTCTGCAAGTCCATCTCCTTCCAGCATCCGGACAACCTCTGACATTGCCGGGCGATCCTCCGGTGATGACTGAGTACAGAGCAATGCAACCTGAATCATCATCTCGACTTCTTGGATGTCATAGTTTTTGTTTAGGTTGCGATCTACGATAGAATCCAAACTTTTCTCTCTTTGCAGTTTCTTAACCTTCAAGGCAACGTACAGAAGATTAATTGAGGAACAAAGAGATATGCCATAAAAAAAAAAAATAATAATAATAAAAAAAAAAAAAAAAAAAAAAAAAAAAAAAAAAAAAAAAAAAAAAAAAAAAAAAAAAAAAAAAAAAAAAAAAAAAAAAAAAAAAAAAAAAAAAAAAAAAAAAAAAAATT